ACGGTGAAAAATACAACTTTCCTCTAGTTCCTAAATGTTTCCTCCCCGCTCACACTATCATGATATGAATTCTACCTAGCAAGTCTGGCTAGACCAGAGGATGTACACTGGTACAGATAGGAACTGGAAATACAGGGAATCCAGGGCGGATGATCCCTACAGGACCAGTGGTGTGAGTGGTGATACTGGGAGGGTAGAGGGAGAATGGATTGGAAAGAGGGAACCGATTACAAGGAACTATATGTGACCTCCTCCCTGGGGGACGAACAACAGAGAAGTGGGTGAAGGGAGATGTCAGACAGGGAAAGATATGACAAAATAATAATTTATAAATTATCAAGGGCTCATGAGGGAGGAGGGGAGTGGGGAGGGAGCGGGAAAAATGAGGACCTGATGCCGGGGGCTTAAGTGGAGAGGAAATGTTTTGAGAATGATGAGGGCAATGAATGTACAAATGCGCTTTACACAATTGATGTATGTATGGATTGTGATAAGAGTTGTATGAGCCCCTAAGAAAATGATTAAAAAAAAAAAAGAACCATGGCTAGTTGAAGAATATACACTGTTTTGAAAGAGCAAGGGTCTTATGTGGTATAGACAGGATACCAAGCTGTTGTTGGGTTGAGTCCCCTCAGAGGTGTTTAAAAGAAAAGCCTAGTGATCTACTTCTAAAACGTCAGCCAATGACACCTCTATGGAGTGAGGAGGAACCAGCCTCTGGGGAAAACAGTATGAGGCTTCTATTAAAAGTTGGAAATAGAAATAACAATCGATAAAGCAATCCCACTGCCAGGATTATATCCTAGAGCAGTAAGAACTAGGACACAAATAGAAATAGACACACCCATGGTCATCACGGCATTATTCACAAGAGCAAAAAGATGGAAACTAGCGAAGCGTCCATTGACAGATGAATAAATGAAAACATTATAGTACATGATAAGCACAATGGAACACCATGCACCACGGATGAATAACAAAGAATCGGGGAAACACCTCATAACATGAATGGAATTATGCCGAAGCAATTACTCAAGGAGAAACCGTTTATGGGATCTCTATTATTAAAAGTCAATAAAAGGTTTACACATAGAACAAATGATTTGATAGTTTCCAGGATTGGGGAGAAAGGTAAAGGAGAACCATGGAGCAGACAGTAAAATCTGAGAAAAAAACACACTCGTAGGGACCCTATAGGACAGGAGGGAACAGTCCCTGTGGGTCTCCAAGAGCCTTGTCTGTCCTCCCAGGAGTGGTTTTGAACTGCTGACCTTAACACTAGCAGCCCAGCGCATAACTGCTGTGTCCCCAGGGCTGGCTCCTAGCTAGTGAATGTGTCTTAACTTGAGTGAGGGGAAAGACAATAGGGCGATCAGTACAGTATCACCAAGACCCTGACCAGTACACTAGATGTATAGACAACAAAGGCAAATATTTTCTTACAGATATTGGAAGATTGTATATGTAATAAGAGGGATTACTGCCTCCCCCAAAAAACTGCAATTTTTTTTCAAAGCTTTGTATTGAATGCTTTTTCACAAAACAACTTTATCACGTTCAAATTATTCTCCATTACACTTAATACATTTGTCAAGTCTGCGATTCCATTCTTGGAAACAGTTTTCAAACTCATCTGTTTAGATGGCTGACAGCCCCTCCCTCATTTTTTATTTACCTCCTCTATGTCATCCAATCACTGTCCTTTCATGTCCCTCTTCATTTGAAGAAACAAAAAGAAGTCACACAGAATGAGGTCAGCATGCTGTTTTGTGTGGTTTTTTTTGCCAAGAACTGGTGCACTGAGGTGGCTATGTGAGCAGGTGCATTGTCATGGTGGCAAAACCAGTCTCCCATCTGCCACAAATCAGACCTTTTTTGTCTCACACTATCACACTATCTTTTCAGAACCTCTAAATAGAAAGCATGATTAACCTGGTGGAAAGAACGCTAAAGGCACTGTCCTCCTCACATTAAAAAAACAAACGACCATCATCTTGAACTTTGATCACACTTGGTGAACTCTCAGGGTCAAGGTGATGATGGTGTCTTCCAGAGGCTTGAATGATTTTTGCTTTTGGAGTTGTAAAAATAGTACATGTCTAATCACCAGTAATGACCTTGGAAAAATAAGTGTGGGTCCCTTCAGAGCTGTTCGTTCAAAGCACGGCATGTTTCCAGTTGATGCTCAGTCAGAACCAAGAGAAACGTTTGCAGCAAACCTTCTCATTCCAAATCTTCCATTAAAATTTGCTGAACCAACCGGGAAGGTGGAGTGAAGGTGGGGTAGAAAGGGGGACCAGAGCACAAAGATCTACATATAATCCCCTCCCTGGGGGACGGACAACAGAAAAGTGGGTGAAGGGAGACGTTGGACAGCGTAAGATATGACAAAATAATAATAATTTATAAATTATCAAGGGTTCATGAGGGAGAGAAGAGCAGGGAGGGAGGGAAAAAATGAGGAGCTGATACCAAGGGCTTAAGTGGAGAGCAAATGCTTTTAGAATGATGAGGGCAACAAATGTACAAATGTGCTTGACACAAGGATGTATGTATGGATTGTGATAGCATTGTATGCGTCCCCAATAAAATGATTAAAAATAAAAAAAACCAAACAAATAAACATACAAGTTCAAAACAAAAACGAAAAAAATTGCTGAACTTCCCTATCTCTTCAATAGTCCATTATCAGTCTTCGAGCACAAGTGCACAAATTTTGTCAACATTTTCATCCATTCGGGAAGTTGATGGACATCCAGAACGAGGTTTGTCTTCCATCGACCTTTCACCTTTTTGAAATGAGAAAACCACTCACACGATTGAGTTTTCCCCATAGGGCTGTCCTTGTAAGCTGTGTTCAACATCACAACAGTTTCTGTGGCGTTTCTTCTAAGCAGGAAACAAAATTTCACTGCCACATGCTGTTCTCTTAAATCAGCCACCACAAAAAACGAGGTTCACGTGAAATTACTTTTATGAAAAAATGTATTGTGACCAGAGAGAACTTTCCCAGTCAACACCACTGGGTGCACGAACTCAGAGTGAGTTGCTCAATGCTAGCCTAGCGGGTGGAGGGAGGGGCAGGGGGGGGCGGAAATGCATACTACAAAAGTTCCGTCCAGAGGAGTCCCCCGCCCCCGCCAATTTTTGGGGGTTCCCCCTTGTATATGTGTGTCTATTATATATATAATAAAGTGTACATATAATATATATGTAATAATACTTGCCTTTGTAATCTGTAACTCCGTGCACCTCTTAGTGCCTCAGTGACATTGCATCAATATTCCCCTTAGTGTTATTGCCTTTCTTTTCACTCAAGTTGAAAGTTAGCCAGTGGCTATCTAAAGTGCAAACACTGATTTCATTCTATCTGGGAGAAAGGAGAGTGAAGAAAATCAAAGTTTCAAGGAAGCAGTCCAAAGGATCAAGGATCCACTACTCTTGAGACCAGAAAAACTTGATGGTACCCAGCTATCCCTACCTGGTTGATAGTGATAAGGAACACAGAAAGCCCTGGACAAAATGGGAGAAAAATATAGAACCAAATTAAAATGTATGCAGAGACCAGGCTCACTGGTCTTCACAGACTGCAGTCCTCAGGCCCCATCCAAACGGGGAACAGAACGCACCCCCGGGAAGTCTCCTGTAGCTGACCACAGGCGAAGGAGTATACGCCTCAGACTCACCCACCAGAAAAGACTGAAAAAGGCAGCATTTGACCCCAAAAATTGCTCAGAAGGCAAGAAGCGGCAGGAAAGATAAATGGAACTGGCAGACAGAGGGCAGAGGTGGTAGGAGTGCTGCCGTTACACTGGGAACGCAAGTTAATACGACCAAAAACTGTAAATAAGTCGCTGAATAGAAAGATAAGATGCGCTCTGCACTTTACGCTAAATCACAGGGAGTTGTGGTTTTAAGTCCGATGGAGCACAGCCTGCTCTGCACACGAGCCCGTCCCGAGTCAGGACGGCCTCGGTGGCCAGCGGTTATTTGAATAAACCTAAGTATCTATGATCCTAAAATAATATCAGACACGTTAAGCGCTTATTCGTTAATGCATGCATTTCGTTTTCACTGGAGCAATAAAGAAAATAGAGCTAGCTTGCTGTTATTACCCACTCTTTGGGTACGAAGCAGGACATAATGAAAATGTAACCTAATTCCTGAGGAGTGTGTTCAGGAAGCATACGCGGATTTCCCCCGGGCAGAACAGGAGAGGCAGCACAAAGAATCTAACATTAGAAAGAAGATAATTTAGCATGAGCACAGGGCTTTAGGGTGCATCCTCTTTCCATCTGGCCAAGCTTGTCACTTGCACTAGACCGTCAAGAAGTAAAAGCGCCCCCAAAGAGGAACTGTTTGGGTCTCACCATGCTCTTCCCGCTTCAGTGCCATTCTCCCTGGCATAGGCTTGGTGGGGGCAGCTCTGACAGGCTCTGCAGACGATGCAGTGCAGCGTTTCACAGCTGCTCACAAGTCACGCAGCAGCACATGCTACAGAGCCTGCCGTGGAGAACAGGGCCACCTCAGGGAGCAGGTGGGTGCCGTTACCAGGTCGGAGTGAGGTGGACAACCGTGGGACAGGGTCTGAGGGCGTATACGTAGTACCGTACTGTTGGGACCCAGTTTCTCTGGATGAGGGTTGGGGGTGGGAAGCTCTCAGTTCTCCCATTAAACTCCAGATTGGCCGTAATTCCACAAGGAGTTGGAAGCACTGAGTCTGAACTGTTGACAGGCACACTGACCATGCCTGTTGATACAAGTCTCCGCAGGCATGGGGACAGGGTCCGACAAATGGTCTCCTCTAGGCCAATGGTGCTGTGCTGAAGCCCCGGTGGGTTTACTAAATGCAGTTCTCGGGTGAAAAAGCAATCTGCATCAAGGCTTAGAAGTCCGACGAAAACGGAAGCACTTCTGCTTAAGAGGACCAATTTGCAATCATGGTGGCTGCCGGAAGCAGCCTTTAAAAACAACACATCAGAAGCAGGTACATTTCTTACCTTGCGCTCCTGTGTGCAGTCTGGCTGGACGACTCATCTGCGGCTGTGGGGAGCCGAACGGAGGGTACCGGGGAGGAGTCTTCACTGGAAAAGCAAGCATTAACAACGACTCGTTAGCACGCTCCCCTTAAAGATGGCAGAAGACTGGTTTGGTTCTTTGTCTTACCATATGGCGTTTCTGGTGACACGGGAAATGCGGGTGTAGAAGAGGCCAATTCACTGCCACTTCGGGTGGGAGAGAAGATCCTGCCATCAATCACATCTACGCCGGAAGGGTGACTGGGGATCACTGTCTAATGACACAAGGAGACAACATAAGCCTGGAGGCTCTGGAGCTGCTACGGCCGACGGCTGTGGGTTTATCTGAAAGTGGTGATAAGGGGGCCGAGTTCTACATCTACAGTCCCAGTAGTCAGACTTTTCTCTAAGCGGGGAACCATTTTGAGGTTCAAGTCCTCCGTTCCACACAGGAGGAGGGTTGTCAGCTGTTACAGAGTTGATATCGCCTCATGATCACCAGACGTGCTAGAGGAAAACTACTCTGTGGGGTTTTCACCGGGTGAGGTTTTACCATCGAGCTTTGGGTTGGTAGTTGAGCATGAGCCATTTGCACCACCTAGGGACCTTGCTGTCCAACAGGCAGAAATATAAATGTTTTATGCATCCTTTTAAGAAAATACGGCCCCGGTAGTGCTGTGGGAGAAGCATTAGGCTGCTAACAACAAGATTGTCTCTTCAAATCCACCAGTTGCTCTGGGGCAGAAAGATGAGACTGTCTGGATCTACCAATGTTTACATGTTTGGAAACCCTCTATCAGAATTGACTCAATTATAGAGAATTTGGTTTTGGTTTTTGGCTTAGTAAAATATCGCTAACAAGTGAAGTTCACAGAGAGCTTGTAGCAGGCCAGGGGAAATGTGCATTATAAAGTGAAATCATAGGGAGAAAAAGCAGGATAAGGTAATTTTTAATGTTCAGATATATAAAAACATGCATTCAATTATACACATCGCTATAGAAAAATGATAGAAAATATTCTAAAACACAAAACCTTGTTAAAATTATGTGTGACCTGGTACAGATATGAACTGGAAACACATGGAATCCAGGGCAGATGATCCCTTCAGGACCAGTGGTGTGAGTGGCGATACTGGGAGGGTAGAAGGAGAGTGGGGTAGAAAGGGGGAACCGATTACAGGGATCTACATATAACCTCCTCCCTGGGGGACAGACAATAGAAAAGTGGGAGAAGGGAGACATCAGACCGTGCAAGATATGACAAAATAATAATTTATAAATTATCAAGGGTTCATGAGGGAGGAGGGAGAGGGGAGTGGGGAGGGAGTGGGAAGATGAGGAGCTGATGCCAGGGGCTTAAGTGGAGAGCAAATGTTTTGAGAATGATGAGGGCAATGAATGTACAAATGTGCTTGACACAGTTGATGTATGCATGTATGTATGGATAGTGATAAGAGTTGTATGAGCCCCTAATAAAATGATTTTAAAAAATTATGTGTGACTTTTATTTCTCTATTCCATGAGCACTTACGTGTTCAACCTGAGAATAAATAAAAATTATGTTGGTCATCATCCAGCCTGTCTTATTTAAATCCTGTAATAACCAGAAGAGCCCACCCTTCCTCTGTTGATCTGACCCAGAGTAACGAGCGCACTCGTGAATGCACTGTTCCAGCCTCCTTTCTGGGCTCCGTGACGGTCCTGGATGAAGGACTCTGGACTTATTGTGAGGACCTCAGAGGGAGTGTCTGTTTGCCATGTTCTCTGTCCATTTACGGAGCCCCAACCACTTGGGTAGGGTCTTTGTATATATTATCCCTAACATCGAAGTTATTTGAAGACTTGTATTACCCTCCCTATGGATAGATAATGTATTTGAAGTACTGGGCTCCCATGCCAAAGTTATTTTTGGAGGGAGGCAGGATTCATAGTCCGGCCTGTCTGTGGTAAACCTTCCAACTACTCACGTGCTTTCCAAAGAAGAAAAATCTGTGTGAAACGGGGAAGCGTGGCAAGACAGGGAGGAGGGCGGTGGTAGGGGACTGTTCAACTCTCAGACCCAGCATGGTCCTTTACACCCCGAGCTCTGAGGCATGAACACGTCTGGGATCTGGAAAGTGGCTACGTCAAATTGTTTAAGCCCAGGAACTTACCTCTTTGGTGTCTGTTGAAGTGAGGAATGTAGCCAGACTTGGATCTTGGTGCACACTGGTGGTCTTTCCCCATTTGGGGAAGGACGCCTGCCCACCAGCATCATTATCATAGCGCCCAACGCTCAGTTTTCGAAGTCTTCCACCCATGGGGTCATCCCCTACAGAACCTGTCGAGAGAAAGGACACAGTAGCTTTAGCTGATGAGGAAAACTCACAATTAAAAGCTGATGTGGGCCGACAAGGGATGCATCTCTAAAATCTATAGAAAACGACAATACCTCAACAAGAAAGAGACGAATCATGCAATGAAAAAACGGGCAAGGGACATGAACAAACAGTTCAACAAAGAAAATACTCAGGCAGCCAGTAAACTAAATGCTCGGGATCACTAACCATTTGATAGAGGCAGGTCAAAACAACAATGAGCTACCGCCTCACACCAGCATAGATGGTAAAGTTAATAAAAACAGAAACAAATGCTGGAGAGTGTCAGGAGAGATGACAGTCCTCACGCACTGCTGATGTAAAGCAGCATGGGGATAGAAATACCATGTGAGCCATCAATCCTTTACTTGGTATTTACCCTAAAGAAATTGCACAAAGAGATATATATGCATGTTCATCGCAGTACTGCTCAAAATGGTAAGAGGAAAACAACCTAAATGCCCACTGGTTGAAATATGGATACATAACTTTGGTACACACACACACACACACGGTAATATTATATATTATAATTTTATATTATATTATAATATTATATATCGTTAAAGAAGAATGATGAAACAGTGGAAGAGCTCATGACCTGGGTGGATTTGGACTATATTATGCTAAGTGAAGTTCATCAATCACAAGAGGATAAATAATGCTGGAAAAATTGGATATCCATTTGCAGAAAAATTAAACCAGACCCATACCTCTCACCATAATACATAAAACTTACTTGAGAAGGATCAAAGACCTACACGTAAAACCTAAAACTATAAAGTTTGCCGAAGAAAAAAGAGGGGAAAATTTAGGAGCCCTACTACATGGTGTAAATAGACCATCAAGTACAACCACAAATGCATGTGCCAAGAGCAGAAAATAAACTAGATGACTGGGACCGGTCAAAAATGTCACGCTTATGTACATCAAAAGTCTTAACCAAAACTGCAAAGACAGAAGTTACACACTAGGAAAAAATATTTGGCAATGACAAAGAACTAAACTGTAAAATTTTAGAAATGAAATTTATAGCAACAAACAGGCAAACAATCCAATTAAAAATAAGGAGAAGACATAAACAGAGACTACACCAAAGAAGGCATGCAGGCGGCCAACAGACACATGTAGAAATGTTTGTGATCATTAGCTATTTTTTTAAGGGCATGTACATCAAAAACAACTATGTGGTATCTCACCCCATCAATAACAATGAAGTACAAACAATTCCCCCAAACAGCATGCTGGTGAAGGTATGAGGAGGTTGGAACTTTCTTACACTGCTGGTAGGATTGCAAAATGACAGAACCATTTTGGAAAATACCATGGCACTTCCTTTGAAAAATAGGGGCAGGGGAAAGAAATATCACGTGATTCATCAGTCCCAGTACTAGGTATATATCGCAGAGAAATAAGAGCCACAAACAGAAGATAAATATGCACACATATTCGTAGCACTACGGATAATAGCAAAAAGATGAAAACAACTTAAGTGTCCATCAATCGGCATCTGTATAAACAAACGCCCGCACATATTTTGAAGGGAATACTATGCAACCTTAAAGAAGACCATTAAACCAGTGTACCTTCATAACGCAGATGAACCCGAGGATGTTAAGTGAAATAAATCAATCAAAAGAGTCCAAGCATTGCATGAGACCATAATTACTAAAAGTCAAGAAAAGGCTTATTCATAGAAAGAAACATTCTTGGATGATTCGTGGGAGTGGAGGGTAAGGGTGGGTAAATCACTAACTAGAGGGTAGACACATATTAACTTAGGTGAGGGGAAAGACAATATACAATAAAGAAGAGGTTAGCACACAAAGCACAAGCCAAGGAAAACATGGAGAGGTGTTTACGAGTTACAGAGAACAATTGTAAATACTGTTGCACATACAATCTTGCAATGTGGTTAATAATACATGTGGATACATAGGTAGACAGGCAAGATAAACTGGTTAAAATAGGTGAATAGGAGTATGCCCCTCAGTCATATGCAGGTTTGGTAGCTGATTTTTTATATATATATATATATATATTCATGTATATTTGTAGACATTGTAAAGGGAACCAATAATATATATATATATATATTTGTAGACATTGTAAAGGGAACCAACAAGAGGCAAAGTTATAACACATTTTTAGGCACAACTAAACACCTGAAGGAACAAGTTGCCGGATGTTGGGGCTCAGGAGTAGCTAGGGGGATTGGAAAGCTTGAGTGATAATTTAAGGTGCTATTAGTGGTCTCTCATGCCTAGAACAAAGGAGAGTGAAGAAAATAAAAGGCGCAAAGAAACAATTAGTCCAAAGGGCTAATGGACCATGTAAACCCCGGCCTCCGTGACCCTGAGACCAGAAGAATTAGATGGTTACCACTGCTGAGCACATTGAAAAGCATCACAATAGAAGGTCCCAGATGGAAGAGGAGAAAGATGTAGGGGAAAAAAAATCATAAAAATGTTCAGACTGACAGGTTCAATAGAGACTGGAGGAGCCCTTGGGACTATGGTCCTTAAATCTTCAACCCTGCAATTAAACTCACCTGTGACACAAGTTTCAGCCGAACAATACCATAACAATCCCCAACCTCTCTGCCAGGGGGTCTAGTCCAAATCGCAGGCCTATAAGGTGAGCGCCAAGGAGGGATGAATTGATGAGAACAATCAACTATGTAAGATCAATGGGGCACATTTTCCCAGGGATAAAGCTCCCAGGGCAGGAGGTGAGAGGAAAGAATAATGAACGGAAGTGGAAATACAAGGAGGTTGTGGGCAGAGTGCTGTCACATTGCAAGGCCAGCAGTTGCTTTCATGAAACACACACGTCCGGGGAGCACACATGCATAACTTTTGGTAGGAGAAGTGGGAGGACCCACCTCCAGGTTGGGGGAAGAATGACTGAAAATGCTTTTGGTGACCCTGGGGGTTAAGTGTCCCTGATGGTAGGCACCGAATGGGCCACATTGACCTGGGCTTCTGGGTAGCCTGGGGACCCAGGCTGGATGCCGTGGAACACTGGGGCATTGGATCCTGGATCTTCAGGGTGCACGGCATCCTCCAGAGGCTGCCTCGGTGAGATCCGATGTGGAAACTCCACTGGGTGAGCTTAACTTTACCTCAGACACGCTTGTAACCCCAGGACTTCAGAGTGAAAATCATCGTGTCTGAGCAAGTGGACAGCAGCTGTACCAAGACTGTTGAACTTTTGGTCGGCGGACAATCATGGTCTTGCTACATCGATGTTCTATATGCTGTATATTCCAGCAAATCTGTGACTGACATTCTCAGCAACTATTACTGTAAATTTTCCCTGACAATTAACCCCGATTGTTTTGTAAATAGTGCCCAGCCAGGTACAAGTGAATAATTCAGGTACCGTGCTACGGAGGTAGCCTACATTGGCCCAATATTTCTCTCTCAACAGGGGTTTAAAAAATTAGCACCAGGGACTAATCAAAGACAATATTAACAGAAGATTGTTATGCACCAGGGGGGGTGATACTTATGGCTCTCTACTATAAATTAACAAGGAGGTTTCGAAAGCAAATAAAAAGGAAATTGGAAAAAAAAACCTAAACCAAACAAACAAAAACATAGACAGGAATGGGTTTGGGGCTCCCACTAAATCCTACCACCAATTTAAGAACAATTAGTTCTTACATCATGGCCTCGCTAGATACTTGCCCTGAGGAAGGGAACACAGAAGATCCGGGTGCTATAGCAAAGTGTGGTGAAGAAATTAGATGGTGTCCAAAGCCAAAGGAGGAAATAGTGCCAGGGCCTAAATTGTGAGAATCTGGGTTGCAGAAGGCAATGGATGACAGTGGCAGCCCAATATATATTTGTGGCCTCTACATAGGAAATAAGCCTCTGGTGGTTTCCTTCTGTCCGTACCAAATCGAGTGCACTGGACAGATGACTATGGGAGATCTAAACGAAAACCTGGCTTGAATGTTAGACCCTTGCTAGCTGATCCCGCCTCTGATGCACTTTAGGCCTGATCTGGGTTTCAACATTTTATGCATTTTTTTGTTTGCTCTTACTAGGGTTTATCTCAGATGTGTTTCGCCATTGGGATTGATCCTCTTGGATTTCTGTTATATGTTTTCAAGTAGATGAGACCCACAGTTGATGAATCTACAGGGACAGCAAATAGAATAAGGGTTTCTGGGGGGTACAGTGGTGGGAGGTGGGGTGGTAAAAGGTAGCTGATGTCAAGGAGTTCAAGGAGAAGAATGTTTTGAAACAGATTGTAGTAGCAATTGCATAATACTGCTTGATGTGATTAAACGATGGAATGATATATCTGTATTAACTCCCAATAAATGGTTTTGGGAAAAAATGCATATGAATTGTTGTATGGAAAATGCATTTGGCCTGAAAACTCACTGAAATCATAATAAAAAGTTTTAAAAAATACATTAATGTTAAAAACTGATCAAAACCCTATATGAAATATTTATGTGTTTTTAAATGTCATACTTTGGTGTGGCTTAAAATGCGCAAGTAGGATTAAATATTAAATGTGTAATTCTAGCCCCAATCTAAGAACAATGATAACTTATGACATAGCCTTCCTTCCTGCTCACTGTCATGAAAAGATCACTAGAGATATAGGTGCTAGATCAAAGTATGATGAAGAAACTAGATGGTGCCTGGCTATTAAGAATAGTACCTGGAGTCTTAAAGGCTTTTCTTAAAACAACCAGCCATCTAAGTGAGGCATTAACTAGGTACATGTGGAAGAAGCACACCATCCTGTGAGATCCAAGGATTTTAAATAATATAATCAAAATCTAAAGAAGGGAACGGGATTAGAGCTTAAATTGTGAACACCTGCATTGCAGAAGTGTGTGGATGACAGTGGAAACCCACAATCCACTTATAGAGCACACACATAGCTTAAGCATCCAGGGAATCCCCTCCTATCATAGTGGAGGGATGTGAGCAACTGG